CTGAACGGCTCGGCCGATCTGGCTGAGAGTTTGCAGGCTCATTAGGTATGTTCTTGGCTCGGCACACGCAAAATTTCACTTTCCTACCTCAACTGTTTCAGTTTTTATAGCCGAAAAACACCTTAAAAAAACGGCAAAAAATCGTGTTTTTTGCAGGCAGATTACTACTGTCTTGAGGAAGGGGGGGTCTGGGGGACTCCGCCTCCTAGCCCCGACAAGCTAAAATGTTACAAGGGTCAAGATCGTGTTATCTGTATGAAGCAACTCTATCTAGAATGAAGGGGGCTCGGGGGGGGGGGGAGCATCCCTGCATGCAACAAGAAAGAAGTAACCTACGATGGGCACATTTCATCACGGTTTCCCCTGCAAATACTGCAAAACTCAAATACTTTTTGAAGCACTTAAGGACATTAAAGTAGACACCTTAGGAGACCTTTTGGTGAAATTTTTTTTTTTTGAGGATGACGTATTTTGGTACGACATTTTCAAGTTAAACATTTAATCGAAAAAGACATTTATTAGAGTTTTTGACCTATCAACCTAAGAGTACCACATTTTGATGCAAAATTTCATTCCCTTTCCAATGAGCACAGAATCAGACCTGTAAGTCCAATAGGAGCTGAGATAATGGCACTTAAGTGAAACACTGTTTCTGTAACTTGGAAAATGGCCAAAAATGGTGAAGTGCTATATATCCGGAACTATTGGCTATTGGCCAAAACCATTTTAGGGGGTCATTCTAGACACAAATTGGTGGCGATTCACCAATTTTGGTTGAAATCGGACGACGTCAGGTTTATGAGTGTTCAAGTTGGCGTGGAATTACCCCCCTCGCTAAGCACAAACGGATCAACACTGGAGAGAAGCCTTACGTGTGCAAAGTGTGCGGGAAGAAGTTCCGACAGCAGGCAACACTACGCAAGCACGAGTCCATTCATTAGGGACAGTAGTTCAGTGTGAAGTCGTGCAAGTGCGGCGATTGTGAAAAGCTGTGAGGCGAAGGTCACTTTCGCTTTGACGCGGCGGAGAGGACTTTTGAATGCGACGTGGCCAGGAAGTAGTCACATCCTCACGCTTGCAAGCGCACTGTTTCGCAAATACTGTTCAAACATTTTTTATAATTTATTTTCTTAAAGCGATCACATGGTTTTCTTGGTTGAGCCATAATTATCGGCTTTACTCATTTTTAGACACTACACTTTCGCGTCGTACAGCAATATTTTGTTAATAATAAATATGGTTGATTCTGAATTTTTTTATGTGATTTACTCATGAAACTGCGCTGTTCTGTTCCCAGAGACACTGAATGCTTTCACTCGTCCGATGTTCATTGCCTCCAACTGCCGTCTTTTTTCCAACGCGTCTGATTTTTCCGTTTTGTTTCAGGACCGGGACTCGCACTGCAGTCACGCCGAAACGAACCTCGCAACCTGCCACGCTGCTTCAAGCAGACTCGAGTTCGTTTGAACGTGAAGAAGCTGATTTACGGCCGAGTCGCATCCGAACGAACGCGGCAACGCTCGAAGGAGCGCAACATTTGGTGGCGCTTGCTCGAACGCGTCGTCAGGCTCCTGCGATGGAGTGTGGCAAGGGAAAGGGCGCCGACTTCCTTGCACTTCAAATTTGCGATGCGCCTCTTTTAAGCATGCGCTTGCGTTACAATTAACTGTGTATCTCATGATTTGAAAATAAACGGGCCTTTTAAAATTTTATGTGCTTTTGATGATGTCCTTAGGTGCAGTTATTGTTTAGATCTGCTTCTCAGGTGGTTTATTTAGTCAGGTGCTTTGCATGGCTTGTTGCATGCTTT